TCTTCCCCCTCGCTGTCCTATGATTCCTAGCCTTCTCTGTAATAAAACAATCCAATCCTATTCCCTAAACCTCAGTTTCACTTCCCCATGCTCATCTGTTCTCTTGGAAAATCTAAGTAGGGCACCCAGCCACTGGCCTTTTAACTTTTTCCACCTTAGCACTGCTCTAACAAGGATGCTTGGTGCTCATCTAAAATATTGAATCTGCATCCATCATTTCTATGAAAAATTATAATTGACTGTAAAACATTATTTTGAATGAAAGTAGCTGTAAAAAACACATGGTGTAATTGAGTACTAAAGCTATAACAAAAGGCCATAACAGATTTTAACATGTATTGCCTGCTTCTCATCACACACAGCCTATTAAGCAAGAAACACATTTGTAATATTATCTGAATGTCTACTCAATGCACTACATAAATAAATAAGCTGTTGTTTAAATTACTTGAGGAGAAATTGAGCATCTATACAGTGAACCAAAGGCTATATTCATATTAGGGTAAAAGGTTTATAGTTCAAATTCTACAGCAGAACTTCACAGAAGAGTTAAGTTACAAAATGGAAAACACTTACTAGGTTATTCAGTCCAGTTCTAATGCCAAAATGGAGTCATTCCCCATAGTATTTATTTTTAGTGCTTTTTCCAGCCTAATTTTCAACCCTGTGCAATGTGACTTAAGAACTTCCTTTGGGACATTATTTATTTCACTGATTAGCATATTACACTGCTACGATTTTTAAAAACAGTCTTCAACACTTCATTTGGTGGGTTTTGTTTCTTCTTTGCTTATCTTCCCCCCTGTGCTCTCAGAAGGATGAGAGCACCTTTTACACTCTCTCCCTGGCCCCAAATAAACACACATACACACACACAAGTCTTTCATAAATCATTTCCTCCAGTTGCCAGGCCATTTTTGTTGCTCTTCTATAAACAACACAGCAGTACTTTGTTTCCATATATAACCTCTATTTGTGTGCTGAAACATCAGAGACACTGACCTTTAGATCAGATATCAAACTGAGACTCCTTGTGAATGTTCAGATAAATGTAAAAGAGTCTTTGGACTGTTCTAAAAAAGAAGAAAATGTTATTAGCATTGCCTCTGTAGAAAAAGAATGTAGTATCTAAGTATCTGCCAAGTGTATAATAACCTGACTGTATGTTTTAATCACCAGTTCCCACACTGGTCTGTGGATCACTGGCAGTCTGCAACACCATAATAAATTATCCACAACTAATCCACAGAGATAGCAGTTTGTGCACATCAATTAAAAGTTTATCCACAAGACTATGCGATAAATTCTGAGGACTTTAACGATGTGCTAACCCAAAATTTTCAGATCAGTATGTTAAATTTCCCAGGGACTGCTGTCGAGTCTGCTGTAAGGAAACTCTTTATGGGCAAAACGTTGCATACAAGAGAAACGTCACCTATTGTTTACCTAATCGATCTGGCAAGTAGGAACTTGAAATAGGTTTTTGTCCTGTGCTCAGTGCCCGGTTAAGAACCGTAGGACGGTGTCACCGTCGTGGACGTGCTGTATGCGATACGGAAAACGTCTGCACACACGCGTACCTCTGCGACAGGAAACGCAGGAACAAAGGGTACGGTTGGAAGAGGTCGTCTGAGGGGAGGTAGCTGAGACTCAGCTGCAGATGACGTCAGATGTAGCGTCCTCATTTAGACATTACTACACCTTGCAGTTGGCCCTACTAGCGGACGGGGGCACAGGCAAGGGTGGAAAACAGCCCTTCCCGTACTTGTAGGTGAGTAAGTACTCGTTGCAGCCCTTACTTCCCCCCTGCGGGTACAGGTATTTCGGGGGACCAGTGGTGAGACTGACCCGCTAACCCCGCAGTCAGCCCCGCCGCCAGCCGCACACCCCCGACCAGCCTCAGCCAATGAGAGCGCGGCAAAGCGATTTCTGAAGAGCTGATTGGTCACTGCCCGATCCGCGCCCAGAGTGCTGGTGGGCGGGGACGCAGGGCTCGGCGGGGGAGCTGGACCGGGAGAGGGGGCCGGGCACGGGGTGGCCGCTGTGCAGAGCTTCGGCCGGAGGAAGCCTGGGTCTTCATTAGCGTGTATGAGTGTCTGGCGAGAGCAGGAAAATGAAGAAGGGGAGGGGCGGACGGGGGGTGTGAATGGGAACGCGTTGGGAGTATTAGTGGTCTGAAGCTGCATTAATTAAAGACAGATTTCCTATTTTAGACAAACATCACTAATTTGTTGGCCCTCTGCCTTGTAAAACGTGCATGAATGCAAAGTTGTAGTTTAATTTTGGCAAGCGGTCATAAATGAAGGCGAAAATAAGTCACACGGTGGTCACCGGCCTCCTTCTGCACCTGGGGCAGTTCCTCCTGGGCAGGATGGTATGAGGTCAGTGGTCTTTTTGCAGCCATTCCTGGGAATTGGGTTCTGAAGAGGCACCACCGGCCCTCAGGCTGTTCTGCCACAGAAACGGGTGAATAAAACGGGTATATAAAGCTTCTGCAACTCACGTAGTGCCTTGGAGTGGCTCCTTCCCCGTGTAGCCGTACACAAAAGCCAGGAGGTAAAAGAGTCTCAGCTCTGAATTTTGTCACAAGCCCATCATCTGGCAGCTCTGGCTAGAGAAACGTCTCTCCCACTGACAGCCGCTTTTTAGAAATTAAAGTGATGATGTAGCGCAGATAAAGCAGAGGCATTTTTGCAGTCTCTCCCAGCGGCTGTTCTTTGGCTAGTAAACAGACCATCTATTCAGAAGCAGTTTTCTTTGGGCTGAAATTATGTGCTGACCGTAGCAGATCGCTTCCCATAATACCCCTTTCCCCCACCCACTGCTAAATACAAACTATCTCCTACTCACTGTATAATAATGTGAAAATGACTGTAATTTTGCAGTCCAAAGTGAAACATGTCTAAACAGAGGTCGATACTGAAAAATCAGGGTCATTACCTAAATATGAAAAACACATTGTAAAGAAACAGGAACTAAGTAAACTAAACACAACTAACTAAACTAAACTAACTAACTAAACTAATACAACTAAGTAAACTAAAACAAAAAAGTAGGCCTGGCGTTGCTGACCTGAACATTTTTGCTTAACCAGTTGAGTAAAATCACCCAAAAGTTATCCCGGGGAATCCGTGATTTTCAGTACCTGTAACATCAGCACGGTCGTGTGTGTTCCCCAGCCTAAACTGCTAGTGCCTAGTCACGAGTGGGCCTCACCAATGCTCCAGCCGTGTCTGCAGCCCCTTGCTGAGCTCCTTCCATCCCATAATCCCAGCGTTGTCGGAAGGCCACGGCAGGAAGTTAGGGACGCGTTTGCACCGTGGCGTTTCTCGTCTGCGCTACTCATACTCGGTGCTTCTATTTTTCATTAAAGTTTGGTTTTTTTTCCCTTTGTAATGGCTTAAGAAATTAATGTGATCCAGGACTTCCCTGGCAGTGAACTTCCCCGGAGCCGCTGAGGGGGAAGGGTTTTTACTCCGGGAGGAACGGAGCTGGTTGTCCCCGGGCTAGCTCAGGGCCCCACGAGGGAGTGCGTCTTGGTGCCCTCGGGGTGATGGTGACCTGAGGGCAGCATTCCCCCAGGGACGCTGCTCATGGTGGCTTTTACCCCCACTGGCCTCGCCCCCGATCTTGTGTGTCGGTCCCCAGTGGCCGGCAGCGAGCACGCTTTGCCCCTCCGGTACCGCACCGTTAGGCGACGAGGGCACCTCGCGTCCCGCTCGGCTGGAGGAGGTACGAAAATGCGTTTCCCTACCCTGGCGCGGGTGTGCGGAACGCGGTAAACGCTACCCTGTGACTTCCCTACAGACACCCTGACCTGGGCAGCGCGTGTCTGGCAGGGAAAAAAAATTTCACAGGGAAATCAAGGGAAAAAGGGGAAAACCAGGGAAAATGTAAGAAAGAAAAAAGCGCTCAGGGCCATGAGAGCTATCGGAGCCCGACCCCCGGCCCGGCGGCGGGCAGTCCTCCTTTCCCCTTCCACCACCCCACCCTCCCGCCTGCGAAGGGTTAAACGCAATTTAACGCAGTGGTGTAGCATAATGGCTCCCAACCTAAACAAAAGGAATGATTAAGGGGGATATTTTCGAGCCACACAAAGCCCGATAGGGAAGATTTGTGTTACTAATTCCTGTGAAAGTATGGTCGCGCGGTGGTTACAGGGTCGCCGGCATTCACACCACAGCACCCGCAGCCGTAAATCAGTAGCCCAGAGACAAAAAGGCTATGTTCTGCCCCCCCCCCCCCCCAAAGGGGAGGGGGGGGGGGGGGGAAAGAAAGACTAAACCTGACCTGCACAACTTAAGTCATATTGTAAGAATGAACATGATACAAAATGGGGGGGGGGGGGGGGGGGAGGGCATGCAAGGGTTAAGGGCTGGTTTGGGTGCTTCCCCACGAGCAGGGCTTCGGCCCCTTCCTCCAGACAGTGCTTGCTTTTTTCCTCCACTAAGCACGAAAATAATTGCATGTGTACCAGCAGCCCTCTCTCGCTGGCTACAAGCTGTTATAATATTGAATGAGGGGCATTTAAAAATTATGAGTGAGGTTCTAAATTGCCTCTGAAACCGGCACAGAAAACTCATTTATCATCGCTCCGAAAACTGCCCTGAAATTAAAACGAAATGAGGGAGTCTTCCTCCCAACGTGTGAGTCTTGGCAGAGATACTCTCCACACTGGTTTTCTGATTTTTTTGCCCCACCTTCCTCTATCTTTTTTCCTTTTTCCTAAGCCCTAAATGTTATATGAGGTAATTGAAAAGGAAACATGATTTGTATCTGGCTGCAGCGAGAGGCTGCCCGCTGCAGCTCGGCGCAGGCTGAGAGCTGGAGAGCGATGGGAGAGGGTTTTTCTTGGTGGGGGTGAGGAGAAGAGGGATTGGGGGGGGGGGGGGCGCGTAACGCCTGTGTGTACAGTGTGCGTGTGTTTCACCCTCGCCGGCAGGCAGGAGGAGCGGCGGACCAATCAGAGAGCCCAGTTTCATAAAAGCTGGCTCCTGATTGGCCGGCAGGGTAAGGGCATTGTGAACAAAGAAAAGTCCCTCTCAGGTACCGCGCTCCCCTGCCCCGGCCGCCCCGCGGCCCCTGCGCCCGCCGGCCAGCCCTCGAGGGGCCGGTGCGGGTCCTGCCTTCCCTTCTCACCAGCCCCCGCCGCCGGGTTTGCTTTAATTTCGCTTATAGAGAGAAAGGAAGGTTCACGGTTATCTGGTGCTCTCTTCTTCCAAGCACAATAAATCTGTTGGAAGATAGTAGGGTGGTTTTTTATTTTTCTTCCCTAAAATAAAAAGCGGCTGCAACAAAAACACACTCAATGTTAGAAGGAAAAGGTCAACTCGATCCAATACAGACCGTAAGTACGGTTGCGTGGTGTGTCTCTAGCACTTAGAGGGGATTTTTGTGTGGGTTTTTTTTTTTTTTTTTCTCTGCAAAGGGGAGTGCTAAAGAGTTCTGGGAGTTGAGACAACTAAGGATGTATTTTTGGCTTCTAGAAAGAAGACGAAGGAAAGAACAATCCCACAAGCAGAATGAGTTGAGGGAAATAAGAGGGCGAGAGCGCTGTAGCCACACAAATCGTACTTGACGGTGCACTTGGGGGGGCGTAAAAGCATTGTGCCTTTCTCCGGTATTAGCTATCCAGGCGGGAGCGGTTCCAGCGACACAGCTCCTGACAAGAATGCGCCCCACTCGTCCGGAGAGCGGTGGGCGCGGGCAGGGGGCCGCTGAGGGGTGGTGGTGTTGAGCATCCCGGAGCGAGAGCCCCGGGACACCGGGAGTGCGGGTGGTTTACCAGGAGCGCTCCGCCGCCGCACCCCCAGGACGCCCCTTCCCCCTCTCTCGACGGCGGGGGGAGCGTGGCAGTGCCTCCCTCCCCTCGCGGTGTTGTGCATGTGCGGGGCCGCCCCGCGCTGCCGGGACACGGCTTGTCACCCGTTCCCGTTCTTACGACAGCCAATGGATCCTGCCGGCCTCACGTGACTTTGTAACGGAACCGCCGCGCCTCGGGGGTTGGCCGCTGCTGCCGCGAGCGCCCCTCCCCCCCACACCCTTTGCCTTCACCCCTCCTCCCGCCGTCCACCGCCGGCAATTCATTACGGCTTTTAGCTTCCCATCGCCGGCTAATTAAAAATACTAAGCTAAAGCTCCGAGACAGTCTTACTTGGGGAGGGCGGGGGGCCTGGAGCAGGCTGCAAGGTTTGCCAAGACAAGGTGGGAGCGATCTATACTGGAAAAAATGTCGTCTGCTTTATCTCCTCGGACTCTAATTACCGAATTACTTACCGCGTGACTGATTAGCCCTAGCTCCCGGGGTTTTTCATTATTATTACTATTGTTGTTTATTTTCCGAGATAGCAATCTGAAACTGTCTATGCTTTTTTCCCCCTTCTTTTTATTGTTACTATTTTTCAAAGCGCTGATTGAGGCGAGTTGGGGGAACACGGGGACAGCAAACACCCCCCTCCCCACCCCTCCTCTGAAATCGTATTTATGGGAAAATATACTTCGTTAGAGAGCACGCTGACCTTCCCCCACTCCTACAAAATGTTTTGATAACCGGTTTATCAGATCAGTGATTCCCCCCTCCCGCTCCTCCTCCTCGCTCCCCCTTCGTCTCTCCCTCCCCTCGTTTCCCCTCAAGTTATTTCAAGAAATCAGATCTGTCAGGACGGGCGAAAAAAATGCCACTTCCCAACTAACAGGCAGAATCCAGCCCAGATTTTCAGTCTTTTCTTCTTTTTTTTCCTTTCCCCCTTTCACTAATTTATCCCGATGTTAGCACATTCTGTCTTGTAACACCCGGGCGCCTGTGGGTTTGTTTCATGGGATCATTACTTACTGATGAGGATGGCTCCCAGGTCCGGGGCTGAAGACGGAGTGTGAAGTTGGGGAAACAATTTTTTTTTTTTTTTTTCTTTTAAATTACTGTGGTGATTATTACCTCTCGGTGCTTATTCAGGAAAAGCAAACAAACAAAAACCTGGTCCTTGATGCTTCAGTTCTGAATGTTGCCTACCACCTGGTAAAGTTGTGAGGCTCATCATTTTTTTTTTTTCTTGGTCTTTAAACAAGGAGGGGAAAAAAACCCAACCCTAAACAAACAAACAAAAAAAAGGACTTCTGATCCGTGTGCCAAAGTAGGGGGAGATACGTTACTGACCGATTTATACTGGCTGAGATGATACTTGCGCTCTACTTCTTGATCACTTGCTCTTTAAGTAAAATGAGACACAGAGCTGTTGCTGAGACGAGTGGGAACAGCATTTTGATTTGCTGGTTTAATTAAAAAATGATAAAGGATTAAAGGTAAGCATGCATATATATGTATAAATATTTCGACAGTCGACTCTAGAAGGGAGAGATCCCTTTAAAAATCGTTTTAACTAAGCTTTGTCAAACACACACTCATTTGCGGTCACTGAGGCCACCTTGGTGCAGATCACTTAAAGTGTATGTCTTAATCAGTTTCCTGTACAGTCAGTAATACTATATTTAACAGACCTAGCAGTTGTGTGACCTAGGAGTACATTAGAACTGCTTTTAGAACTGGTACCTCGAGAATACAGTTGTTTTTTTTTTTAAGAAAATAAACATTTTTAACCTATGGAGTTTAATATTTTCAGTAAACGTTTGTGTTTGTACGTTGTTGGTGTTTAACAGCAGCTCTATTGTGGCAAAGAAAATGAGGTTTCCCACTTCCTTTAGCGCTCCCTCTCCCCCCACCCCAAGAGATTAAGTGTAAGGGGGGTAAAAGATAATACAGGAGAGTCACGAAACTTCAAGGGTCTGGTTTAAAGCCACAAAATCCATGGAATGCAGCAGAGAGTGAATCTCTATTATTTTTTTTTTTTTTTCCCCTCCCTTTTGTGCCTAGGTGGTGGTCCAACGGGTTAGATTACAACATGTGCTCCAACAGCTAGGCACCACTTCTAAGACTCTATTTCCTGAGCTTTGTGGATTTAAATACTAGAGTTTTTTTTGGGGGGGGGGCTTTTGTTTGTTTGTTTTTTTTTTTTCCTTTTTGTGCACATGACTTTTTAAGGCAGGCTGTGGGTGTTGGCATGGAAAGTAGATTAAAGATGCTCACTATAAAAGCATCACAGCCATTGCCTCCCATTTAACAAACCTGAGGGAGAAATGTGTCAATGATGAATAATTTTGACCGCCCCTACCTCGCCCCCTTTTTATTAGGCCTATTATATTCTCCTTACACTCAGACAATAAATACTCGACTTTTCTCCTCCTCACAGGGCAAGGTGGACGTGGACTGCAGGTTGTGAATGTAGACAAACCTGGGGGAGGAAGACAAAAAGAGTTGAACCTAAGAGAGCCCAGTGGAGATAAACGAATGTCCTCACCTCTCCGACAGAAAGTTCATTGGATTTTGACTCTAGAGATCTCATCTTCAGGATGTCATTGAACACTTCTACTGCAGGAAAAGGTGTGGATCCAAATGCAGTTGATACTTATGACAGTGGAGATGATTGGGAAATCGGTGTTGGGAATTTAATTATCGATTTGGACGCCGATTTGGAGAAGGACAGACAGAAACTTGAGATGAATAATTCTACTAGTACCACCAGCAGCAGCAACACCAGCTCCAAGGATTGCGGGGGTCTGGCTTCCAGTGGTGCTAATACTACCTCAGCCTTAGCTGATGGCCTAAAATTTGCTTCTGTTCAGCCATCAGCTCCCCAGGGGAATTCCTCTCACAAAGAGACTAGCAAATCAAAACTGAAAAGGAGTAAAACTTCTAAGGATGCTAATAAATCTCTGCCTTCTGCCGCCTTGTATGGGATTCCTGAGATCAGCAGTGCTGGCAAGAGGCAGGAAGTCCAAGGGCGCCCTGGAGAGGCAACTGGCATGAATTCATCACTGGGTCAAAGCACGAGCAGTAACCCAAACAGCAATAACACCACCAGCAATAGCACCACCATTGCCTCCTGTGTGAAAAACAAAGAGGAGAAGCCAGGTAAAGCTGCCCCAGGTAGCAGAGGCTCCAAGAGGGATAAGGATGGGGGAAAATCCAGGAAGGACAAGCAGCATGACCTGCAGCAGGGCCATCCCAATGGCAGTGGGGGTGGCAGCAGCCAGGCTCCCCCTGGGCATCTCTATGGCTTCGGGGCCAAGGGAGGCAGTGGTGGAAGAAGCAGCCCCTTCCAGTGCACCTCCTCTGCCATGGGGGAAGTGAGCAAAAGTACCCCGGATTCAGGACTACTGGGAAATTCTATTTTGGTAAAGAAGGAAGAGGAGGAGGAGGAGAGCCACAGGCGAATCAAGAAATTGAAAACAGAAAAGGTAGGACAAAGCTCCTCTCCACATCTGCTCTTCTGTGTGTCCCTGTGTCTCTAATAACAGTCCAACAACTCTGTGTTTGGCTCCTTTGTCCTCTTTGGTGTATTCATGATACACATATGTTCTTCCAGTTTCCCTTAAAAAAAGAAACACCGAGACCTCTTCCCTAGACAGAAGACACCATGTTCTGAGTGTACTGCTCTTCCTTACCTTCTCTCCCTGTCCTTGGACACTGGAGAATGTTTACGTTCTGGCTGTTCCTTTTGATAGCACTCACCCAGAAGAAGAGACCTGGAAATGGCCCTGACTGAGCTGTCCCTGGTTTTAGCAGAGGCTGCAGTGTTGGTACCAATGGGATGGCACATGTTTGCAGGGTGGAGATCTGTGTCTTTGGCAAGGGGTGTGCATAGTTTAGGCTCCAGGAGCAGCAAGTCCGTTATTGTGCTGACCCTTTTCCACAACACCAGTGGGCATTCATGACTGTTCCTCTCACAGAGTCTAAAGGGACCCTTCTCCCTCCTCTTGTCGGAAGCTGAGATTGTGCTTAGGGGGCAAAACAGAAGGCATTGCCAGAGACCCGGGCTCCATTGTTGCTTTCTGTTGGAGACACAGGGTGCTTATTGTACAGGGGGGTTCCTGTGGTACAACAGCAGCCCAGAGGCCCCAGAAGCTGGTGTGGAGAACAGGGAGGAAGGAGCCAGCAGACAGGCAGTGCCTCTCTTCCTCCTGGAAGGAGAGGGCTGGAAGGAGGGCAATTCACCTTGTGCTGAGATGTGTGTGTGCAAAGCAGCTTTCAGAACAGAGGGGAGCAGTTAGTCTCCTGTCTGGGGGAGCTTTCCTGTCTGAGACAGCTCTCAGGTGTGAGCTGCTCATTTATTGAGTGGTTGAAATGTATGAAAGAAACCCCATAAGTGTGTGTTTTTCTTCCTATTACGTTATGAAGGATGTTTTCTGTAAGAATAGATGGCCATGACTCTTCTTTGGGAAGGGTGGAATGAGAGTTTGGCTTTTGTTAACTGCTGGCTCAAGGAGGTTCTGGTGTCAGTGGGAATTCTGCTGTCTGTAGGGCAGAAGGTGTCTTCTGGGAGACCTTGGGGCAAGTGTTTGCCCTGAGATTACGAGTCCTATGAATTCTACAGGTTGTAAAACAAAGATAACCTGGTCTGCCTGAAAAATAAATTGTCTGTCTCCTTGCCCACTGAACGTTCTCAGAGTATTAGATTGTGACTTTATTGTCAGCTGTTGCTCTTAAATTAATTGCTTTTACAACTTCCCAGAATGAACATTCAGTGATGGAAAAACTTTTGGGTCCGTGTTAACTGTAAGTGTCTGGGAGGGCTGGAGGTCGCAGGGAAAATTTATGTCTTTCTATGACCTGTTACTGGCTTTTTTTTTTTGTATTTTGGTCATGTTGAAGGCTTTGTACTATTTAAATTTGCTGGAGGATTAGATCTGGGTGTTTATGACATCTGATACTTGCTAAAACTGGAAAATAATTTCAAGGGCTTTTGTTCAAGGCAAGGAACAAATAAAATTTCATATTGTATGCATATTGCTGCTTTTAAGATAGCATATCTAGGGATGAATTTGAATGAGCCTTGTGACCTTTTCTAAATGCAGATGAGAGTCCAGGTTGCTGTAATTCATGTGTTTATGTTTGTGCTTTTTGATTTATGAGAAGTTCTGTGCGCGGCGAAAAGGTATCCTAAAATCTCATGGTCTCTTGGTCTCTTTATTAATTTAGTACAGTAGGCATTTACTTCTGTTGCCAGTAGTCTTCAAATTGCAGTTCTCTAATCTGTTTTAACTATCTAGATAAATTGCCCTAATCCGCTCTTCACAATGGCTGTGGTTAAAGAGTCAGAGCCGTTTGATTGGATTCAGTGGCTGCCTGGAATGTGGGAGGTACTGCCCTTTTGTAACCCCCTTAGCCTTTTAATCTCTCAGCCAAATGTTCACATTGAACAATTTTGTTTAGCTGGCAATCTGAACATTTCAGGATCTCAAAGGCTGCTGTCATGGCAACAGAGATTAGAGGGTTGCGTGGTTTCTCCCGGTTTTGTGTTCTTTTAACTATGCTCACACAGGAAACTGCATGAAGAATCCCTATACACACCAGAAACCCTATGTACGATGTAAATGGGACGGCATGCGGATTGAGAATGAACATGTACGGAATACTCAGAGGCAGAGGTACGCGCTGTCTGGTGGCTCTTGCTGCAGGAGGAGGTCTGGAGCTTGCATTTCCAGCAACAGCCACTGCTGTTGGCACACACCGACTCTAACACAGACTTCACACATTAGAGTCGTGCAGTGTTGGCCATTGTCTGGCACAATAGCGTGCTTGCTTACTGTCTGAAGTAATATCCCGTAGGGTCTCACAATAATAAAGCTCGTTGCTGGCAATGGTTGCAACCTTAAGCACAGCCTGTGGCACTCTTAATAAAACTTAAGTGTATTATGTTTTGTTCTGGCTTTCTGACCCCAGATGTTTAATAATCATCAGAAAGATTTTTTATTTTTAGAAAGATTTCAGATTCATTGAGTGTTCTTGCTTTGCCTATACATTAGAATATATCTGCTGTACTTGGCACAAAGCAGCTTGTGTCTGTAGATAACAAGCCCACGTTTAAAAATCAATTTCTGGTTATCTTAACGTGAAAGACATGTCTCACGAATTTGGATGTTTCCTCTTAAATACAAATGAGTTCATGCCTGGTGATTCAAAATCTGCAGGTCTTTTATGTGGTGTGGAATACAATACTTCATTTGTTTACAATTTGTGAAAAGCTTGAAGCAGATTCCCAGGAGTTTTAGTCGCTGTTCAGCTTTCACAGTATGGTTCAGTGTCTATTTTTGGACTATTTATTCTGTTTCCTTGCTGCAGAAAGGCATGTAAAACATGATAAATTGGATCTTACGAAGCCGAATTAAATCAATGACTGTGCTCTGTTGGCTCTTTCATGCAGAAACCGCAAGCATGTTGTAAAAGTCGCCACTCCCCTAATATGTGGATAAAGTCAAAGTATGCTGTAATTCTAAAATGTCTGAGCTATATTTGTGCAGCCCATTTTGTGGTTAAGCCACCAGTGCCATGTCTGAGTAAGTAGCTTTGACAGGTAGGCTAACCACTCCTAAGAATTTTGGTGTTAAAACCTGTCTCCATTTTTCCATTTCTCCTCCATACTGTTTTTAGCACAGTTACTGACTGTCAGCATGAACTCTTCATCTGCTAATTTTTTTTGTTTGGTTGGTTTTTTTTTTTTTGTCTTTCATAGCTGTTACATTGAAAAGCATTCAGAGTATCTACAAGAATTTGTGTGTGTTGCAGGGAGACTTTGGGATTCAGTCAGAGTTTACACAGATACAGGAAAATTGTATTTGACGTGTGATAATCAGTATATGTGAAAATAATGCAGAAGATACAAAGCTATAATTAGAGGTGTCTAGTTGCAGTTTTTAAACGAATCAGTCTAGTGATACTTAAGGATTGACTTTGTCTCTTGTATTAGCTTATTGCTTCTCTCATTAAGATTGCATTTCGCATCTGAAAGTCTTCAGCAAATTAACATGTTGGCTGGTATTGTTTACTTTAGCTTTACTTTGTAATACTGTGGATTAAGGATGTTTTGCACTTCATCAGGAAACTGCATTTTACCTATTGATGTAAATCATTTGATTAATTATGTTAAATGCTTTTCATGTACTTTTCTTGCTGGCCTTGTGTGTAGTTTATTCACTGTGAAATAAAAGGGCAAGGAGGTCACTTGCTGTAATTAAAGAACAAAGTCTATTGTTGTTTGACAGCAAACTGTTTTGAAAACTACATAAGGGATTTAGCTGTTAAAAACATTGATAACAATAAGCACAGCTAAAGGTTCTTAAAGTTCTGTAGTGCTGTCTAGTAGTGTGAAGGTGCTTTTTGAGCTGGGTAAAGAGGTGTTGCCCTTTGGCCAAGGAAAGCTTTTTCGTGTGAACGTGCTGACCTCTGCTAATATGTATGATCAGGGCCGCTATTGAATTCCTGTGCAAAGCAAAATTAGCGTAGCAGAATGGAGGCTGGTCTAGAACGTTTATAAAATAGAGTAGGGAAGCTGATAACCTTACTCAAAACTACTGGAAAGATATTTCACTTTGGGCATTGGTAATTTTACGATTTTAATAACTTCATAAATAGCCAGTAAAAAGGGAAGGATTGATTGTCCAGGTGTCATGAGGTTAACCATGTTCTCCATGTTAAAGGGCTTTCCTGCAAGACTGTTTTAATTACAGCCATATAAAGACTTGTTTTTCCAAAGCAGCATTTTATAGTCCAATAAATGAAATGTATGTTAAAAGTGCTAAGCAAAATCTCCCATAACCATAGAGGTGTTCAATAACCAGATTCAAGTAACATGGAAAGTCCCATCTGTTCCTAGTTTTCAGCATAAAACCAGGAATTGAATAGCTGAGATTTGCTCATATTTTTTCCTTCTATTTTTTTTATTATTATTATCATTATTTTAAAAGTTCACTTGGCACTTTATAGACGCTTTCTGAAATGCAGTAATACAGGAGAGACTGTGAAAACACATGTTTGTACATACATCTAACCAGTTTCACTTTCATTTAAAGAGATTTCCAGAAGCTCAGTCATTGAAGAATTTATAACAGTGAATCACCTCCTGCAGGCCAACACAATAAGGGTCAGTTCTTCAAAGGTCGTACTATTTAGGTAGAACGTGAATTACTTTGTCAGGTTTTCCCTATGAGGTAAAAGGAGGCGCGGGTTGGGGGGGTCGGGTGAGGGGGAAGCGGCCTTTCAAAGGATAACTTCAGCAAGCTCTTATCAGTCACCTAATTGCTTATGATAAAACCATTGACTAAAATTTTCCATGCAGAGACTTTTCTGCTCTTCAGAGAAGTGTTCTAGAATTGTTGATAGGAGGAAAATGACTCTTTTAAAGATAACTTAAGTTCTGAACTGTTAGGCAATGAGATTCTTGGCTGCAGCCCTGGATAAA